ACTTCTTCGACCCGAACCAAGAATTCTCATAGATATTATGCAAAATGGATCTTGTTTTATTGTTATACTTCTTCGACCCGAACCAAGAATTCTCATAGATATTATGCGAAATGGATCTTGTTTTATTGTTGATCAGAGATTTCGCAAGCTGCATTATATACTCACCACCAATACATCGTAGGATTCATCATGACAATGGCTTTTGCTCATGGAGCTATATTATTTTTATTAGAGATGACAATCCAAAACAAAATGAAGATAATGAATTGGCAAGAATGTTAGACCATAAAGAAGCCAATAAGGGGCATAGTTAGATAATTTATCTCTCTCAACTTGAATCCCATGAGGCGGGCCTTGGAAAGTTTGAACATAAGCAGGTTGGATTTGCAAATCCTCCAGAGTCTGGAAGTTTCCGGCGAGGGGAGGTGCAGCTGCACCTCCTTGCGCCTCGGTGGATCTGCTAGTGGTTTTCATGGCCCAAGGAAGGTCATCCCCATTGATAGTCTTCCTCTTCTCCCTCTGGCACTTGTAGGACGCTTTGCCTGTGACGAAGCTTATGAACTCAGGCACGCACTCCTGGACAGTTTCCTTGGCTTCCTTTGAGATCTTGGCATTTGAAGGGAGGGACTTCTTCATGATATGGCTCACGTTAGCAATGGGGGGGAACCTGTGTCTTGCTCTTTGGAAGAGCTATCTGAGACATTCCCAGACAAAGGGCTTCAAACTGGGCTGGTTTGGTTTCTTTTTCCACTGATAGAGTTAAGTTTAGAGTGATTGTGTGAAATAGAAAAGAGAAATGCAAGTGAAGGAAAATGTGTACTGGTTTTTCTTTTACTGCCTTCCTTTTTTTCTTCTTGTGTAAAGTGTTTGTTGTGGAATCTAAGGGGAAGAGTTTGGGGTTTCAAGGCTAGCAGAAGTGGGGGGGAAAATGAAGCAAACATAATGCTTATTGAAAAACATTACTACAAAAATAATGCTAGTTGTATTCAGTAGTCACCAATAATATGATAATTTCCATTTCTACAAAAATACATGTGATCAAGTTCAATACAATTGTTAGGTGGGTGAACAATTTTTTGAAGTTTTAATAGCCTCTGTGATTTATTCAGAAACTTGCATTGCTGTGCTTACCGAGACAAAACACAGTTATAATGGAAGCCAGTTATGGGACACTGCTTTTGCTGTTCAAGCAATTATCTCAAGCAACCAAGCTTGTAGAAGAATATATGGTTCAACTCTAAGAAAGGGACATAAATTCATAAAAGATTCACAGGTGGTGTTTCCATCTGTCTTAGAAATCATTGTGTTTCTTAATACTGTAATATTTTATTTGTATTTTTATTGTTTTACTTCGCTGTAGATTTGTAATCATGTTCCATCCGTGTAGTAGAAGAATATTGTTGTATCTGATTCTTATTTTTTGTGTTATTTTTTATTTTATAGAAACGAGCCACCAGCTGAAGGTCTATCATGGGTATTTGGCTAGTTCTTATCATACAGGGATTCTTTCTGGATTAATGTCGATTTCTTCTTATTTGGAAACCGTAGCGTCAACTCAAAAATCGGTAAGCACTGTCAATTCATTATCGCCTCAACTACATGTGCCACGTGTTCCAACTATCGATCTTGAAAATCTGGCAAATAGTTTGTGACGTGAGACTCCCATGCTTGAGGTGACGATAACACGATTTATACGATGTTATTAATTCATGCATTATAATATAGCTGGACAATTATTTATTCATGACAGTTGGATTTAGATTTTTGGCTTCTGAAAGATTGTTGTCATTAAGAACCTTCATCAATTTGGCACGGGACAACATTCCATTCACTTGCATGTACTGTAGTTACAAGGGAAAAAAAACATGTAATTAAGGAACTATTTGTGTATAAGATAGACGATGTAATTATTTTGTCCTCATTGAATGAAATTGAGTTCAATTCCCTTGAAAAATTTCAGTCTTGAAAGTTGTTTTTATATATTCGCAAGTGTATGCAATCAAAAAAGATTTTTATTTATATTATACATTGAAGAGAACACATTATATACATTGTGTATATAGTGCTTGTTTATTGCTTTCTTATTGTCTGTATGGCCCTTTATTGCGTTCGTATTGCTCATGTATCACCTTTTTGTTTGAAGTTTGTGTTCCAATTGGAACTCTTCTCTCTGGCTTGGCTCACTCCTCTCTTTGGCAATAGTCTCTCTTCCCCTCTTCACCACTAAGGCTTTTTGTTCTGTCTGATTGCTCCATCACCACAGACCACAGCTGCTCTTAAAAAAAATAAGAAAAAAAAAAAAAAAATAAAAATAAAAAAAAAAAAAAAAAAAAGGGACCTAGATCAACTGCCACGTTGGGGATATGCTTGGGATAGCAATTCAATGCGAACCCGATACACAACTCGAAATCCGTATGATTAATATTGCGGGTCAAATTTGGGTCAACCCGCCATGGCACGTCTAATAAACAGTGAGTTTAGGATGAACCTGTAAACCCGCGAAATGACCTACTTGACACGTTTATTATTTAATTTTTAATAATAATTATTATTATGTGTCATACATACATTGCCATATTCTAGTCTATTCCACCGTGCACACTATGGCAGTGGATTTCAACTCCCCTTAAACCATAACCCTTTTAGGTCGAAGCTAATAGTTTATTATCTTTCTTTTTCTTCTTTTTTTTTGTACGGACAGTTTAGGGTGCTGTTAAACGAACCCTAAAATTAACTGAGTACACCCTACTACCAAACTATTTATCAAATTATTAATTTACCATAATATAAAATGACCAAAAAAGATGTATTGAATTGTGAAACAAGTGTAATTTCAATAAGTATACCCTACTCACTATATGAACCCCTAATCAAATTAAGCAAAAAATCATACATCAAAAACCTTAGTATTAACTCCAACAATTTGTTTCATCATTATTTTGTAATTCATTGATGCAAACAAGATGTTAAGAGCCAGTAGTGTGGCCTAATCAACTGAGAAATCTACAATTACAGAAAATTGCAAGGTCTGGTTGAAATCCAAAAATTAGCTAGGGAGAGCTATAGCTTGAGAGAACCTGCAGCAGCTGCACCAACACTTCGTTTGGACTTCCTGGTGTTCAAGACGAGCCTAGTCTTATAGTAAGCATGAGAAGCATAGAAGTCTGAGACGGCCATTTTGATGCAAGTCAACCAAATCTTCCTCCTCATGAGTGTATTAAGGTCATCGAGAACAACCCCCACATTCACTGGGATAATGGTTTTGTTTTGCGCCATGGCCAAGGAAATCCATGAACAAAGAAAGATCAGGAAGAGGATAGAAACAAGAGGCTTAAGCTTGCAAGGGTTTTTCTTGATCATTTTGAAATTTTTGAAGCTGCTTAGTCCAAAGAAACCTATTTATATGGACATGGTGTGGTATAAGAATTCCAAAGTCCTTAAAACAATCCATTCAATATAGTTGCGATGCCGTTGGCATATTTCGGATACGAAAATAACGAACACTACTGACTCTGGCTAGGTTCTAATTAACAATTCAATGTTCGTCAGTTCACCACCGAAAGTCCAAGAGATATTCGGTGGGGCGACGCCAAACGCTAATAAGAAATGTTTGGTGTTGTGTGATAGAGTGTATTAGGGTATAACATGGATATATTTGGTAGTTAAATAAGGTGTACTTAATTAATTTTACATTTTGATTTAAATATTAGGATGTACTACTCACTTACATAGTTAATTTTAGGGTTTCTTTAAATTTGAGATTTTCTATTTAAACCACATACTTCTCTTTGTTTACCCCAATACTTAAATCATTAAGTTGTAAGTTTTATTATTGTGTAAAAAGACAAAAAAGGTCATCCAACTTAATACTTAACCCTAGTACATCTATACACACACCTCATACACCCCACCACTCTTCATATTAAGTTTTAGAAAAATACAAACTCTTCTACATCGTATTGCCAGAGACGTAGAACATTGAAGAGCATGTCCCTTTAAAATCTACGTGGGAACTAATGGAAAGACTTGTTAATTGTTTGATTATAATGATCTTATTCTCTTCCCTTTGTTGATTGCTTTTGTTTTTTTGTTTTTTTAAAATACCTAATGTTTTGGTAAGCTGTTCTCTTTCTCTAGAAAATATTAAATTTCGGATTTGGGTTTGTTTGTGTTTTTTTTTTTCTGCTAGGAACAGTAATATTATTATCACTTCTGGCATTCCAATGTGCATCTAAAATCATAATCCTATTGCTGCAACTTCAATAGTTGGGTAATTTTTCTTGTTTCTTTTCCACTCTGATAAAAGCTTCAATGTATTCTCCATTGATGGCCAATCAGATGGCCTACTCCTAGTGCAAAGTGTAGCACCTCAAGTACCAGTTTTATCTCCTCTCGCATCGGAACGTTCGTACCAACTTCATTCTCATTGTAAATTTCTCTCATAACAACTTCCCTTGACTTACTCTGTATGCTTGCTCCTGAATTCACCAACCTGCCATTGCTTAAAATTTTCAGCATGATCTCCCCAAAGCTGTATACATTCCTCCTCTAAGGGTAGCTTGTTTAAATAGAAAATTTCTTTTCTTTCTTATTTTTTCAGATTGGGGTGTATTTAAGGGTAGTTTGGGAAGATAGTGGAGTTTTCTTAGAAATTATGAAATTTTAAATTAAAAGTTGGGGTGAATTTAGAACATGAGGTGAACTAAGAGAAGTGTGAGGTTTAAATAGAAAATCTCTTAAATTTTAGGGTGTATTATCTTTGGTTTTACCCGAAAGCTTTTGTCCTCTGTCAGCTAATTTACTTAGCGGCGCCGCTGCTCCTCTCAAACTCTTAACTCTACGTCACGTCACTCTGTTGTAAGGTAAGTCCTCTTCGAACTGTCTTTCTCTCTTTCATATCTCTGCCAACGTATTGTTAGTATTTTTCTGAGTATCACCATCCAAGGCTTCGTCCTCTTTGGGTATGGTTCCAGCAAGTGAAGACTTATTAAGGTTTTATGTTTTGTTTTCAGTTTTCAGTTTGTTTGCAACTTGTATTTGGTGGGTTCATTAACGGGTCAAGTTAAACACACATTAGTTCAGATTTCTTTTTGTTTTAGTCAAAATTTTACCATTTCTTATCAAGTTATAATTCATTACTAACCTTCAGTTGGTAAGGTCCCGCACTGTGTGTAGCCCCACCAGTGTTCGAGTCCCGCTTTCAGTAGTCCTCTCGAGGTTGTGGCTCAGTAGTCCTCTCGAGGTTGTGGCTCAACTTGGATGCCACACGTAAGTCCTTCTGTCTCGAGGTTGTGGGTCTGCCTTAGCGCTGGTAGTGGGAGTAGCCAATCTCCCCTTAAATTTTTGGGTAGCAAATAATTCGTTACTAACCAAAGTTTCAATTTTCGTTGGAAAATCTCTTTATAAGCAGCTCAACATGCATTTTTCCCTCTGTTTCATTAGCATAATTAATCCAGTTTGCATCTTATGTGCGCCTGTATAGCAAATTATGATATTTTGTGTTGGGGACCGTATTGTCTTTTGTGTTCATATTTGTCAGAGTAAAAAGAAAGTAAAATGTAACAAGGTAGGGTGGAAAGGCCAATTACAAGGACGGCTTGGTTTTTTTCTCAAGTTCTGTCAGATTTCTTTAAACAACTTTGTTTTGTGGTGTTTGACATCAATTTCCCTTTCATAGTGAAAGTTATGATTTTGGTGATGAAATTAGTGATTCATTATTTTCAGTAGAATAGGTTCACTACATGTATTTAGTTATCTCTGTTTATAGAATCCATGTTAATGGTGATTTTGTATGCCACCTGCTGGTAGGTAATGATACCAAATGGGAAACATGGTGCAATATAACTTCAAGAAGATGGTGCAATATAACTTGATTTTATTTTTTTGTAAACAGACCAATAAGTAAACATGGTGCAATATAACTTCAAGAAGATGACTGTTGTACCAAATGGGAAGGACTTCATTGACATAATCCTATCTCGCACCCAGAGGCAGACCCCAACTGTAGTCCACAAGGGTTGTGCCATTTCCTCCCTCTGCGGGTTCTATATGCGCAAAGTGAAATTTACCGAAGATAGTTTTCAAAAGAAGCTCTCCACAATTATTGATGAGTTTCCTAGGCTGGATGACATCCACCCTTTCTATGGCGACCTTCTTCATGTTCTCTACAACAAAGACCATTACAAGCTTGCACTTGGCCAGATCAATACTGCAAGGAACCTTATTGGAAAGATTTGTAAAGATTATGTGAAATTGTTGAAGTATGGTGATTCACTTTACCGATGCAAATGTCTCAAGGTTGCTGCTCTTGGCCGCATGTGCACGGTTATAAAGAGTATTGGTCCTAGTTTAGCTTACCTAGAACAAATTAGGCAACACATGGCAAGGCTACCTTCGATTGACCCTAATATCAAGACACTATTGATTTGTGGCTATCCGAATGTTGGAAAGAGCTCATTCATTAACAAGATCACTAGGGCTGATGTGGATGTCCAGCCATATGCTTTTACCACTAAGTCACTCTTTGTGGGACATACAGATTATAAATACTTGAGGTACCAGGTAATTGATACACCAGGAATTTTGGACCGCCCATTTGAAGACCGTAACATTATTGAGATGTGCAGCATCACAGCTTTGGCCCACTTGGGAGCTGCGGTGCTGTTTTCCTTAGACATCTCGGGGTCTTGTGGGTACAGCATTGCCCAACAGGCAGCTCTTTTTCACTGTATTAAGTCTCTGTTTATGAACAAACCATTGATTATAGTCTGCAACAAGACTGATTTGCAGCCATTGGAGGGTATATCCGAAGAAGACAAGAAGTTGGTCATGGAGATGAAAGCTGATGCTATGAAGACAACGATTGGTCTAGGAGGTGAGGCTACGAATGATGAGGGGGTACTCTTGACCATGAGCACTCTGACCGAGGAGGGGGTGACTGCTGTAAAGAATGCAGCTTGTGAGAGGTTGTTGAATCAGAGAGTGGAATCGAAGATGAAATCCAAAAAGATAAATGACAGGTTAAATCGTTTTCATGTTGCAATGCCAAAGCCACGTGACAATAAGGAAAGGTCCCCATGTATACCTCTGGCAGATTTAGAAGCTAAGGCCAAGCAAGCAGCGGAGAAGGAAAAGAGATACAGAAAAGGATTTGGAGAATGAGAACGGTGGTGCAGGTGTATACTCTGCCAGTTTGAAGAAGAATTATATCTTAGCTAATGATGAATGGAAAGAGGATGCCATGCCAGAATTTCTTGATGGGCACAATGTATACGACTTTGTTGTTCCTGATATTTTGCTTAGGCTTGAGGAGTTGGAACAAGAAGAAGGACGCCGGCAGGCAGAGGGTGATAATGATTTTGAGATGGATGGATTGGAATTGACTACAGAAGTGCAAAAGACACTGGCTGAGATAAGGAAAAAGAAGAGCTTGCTTATTCAACAACATAGAATCAAGAAAAGTACAGCAGAGAGTGGACCAACTGTACCAAGGAAATTTGACAAGGACAGGGAGTTCACAACAAAGAGAATGGGGAGGCAGCTATCAAAGTTGGGGCTTGATCCTACTATGGCTATTAACTGAGTTTGAAGCAGATCTGTCTCTACTAGGGGCCGGAGGAGGAAGAGATCACTTGACATGGATGATACTGATGGTGGTGATGCTGTGGATATGGATACACCCAACAAGAAGCAATGCATGTTATCTAGATCCTGTTCGAGGTCAAGATCTTGGCCTCAAACTGAAGTTGTCCCTGGAGAGGGGTTCAAAGACTCTGCTCAAAAGGCTAGGGCACTACAAAGGGCCAATAAATCTAATAAGATGAGAAACAGGAATGCTCGTCGTGGAGAGGCAGATAGGGTCATTCCCACTTTAAAACCAAAGCACTTGTTCTCTGGAAAATGCTCAATTGGAAAAAACCAAAGGCGTTAAAATATTTGAGGTACTCAGAGACATTGCATCACTTTCAATTCAGCTTGTCTTTGTTTTGAGCACTCATTGGAAAAAGTTATATGTTGGTTTTCCTTGTTCTCAGACCAGCTTTAGGGTATACGTATGTTTTATTCATATTACATGTTTCTTTGGGATCAAGTGCATTCGATTTTTTGTGTCTAATTACATGCATACCTCATCAACTTACGCATCCAACCATGTATTAGAATGCGGATGTGTGAGAATAACATTCTCTTAGCTACCAGATGGAAGTTTTTGGTCCATTAGGAAATGCTAGAGTCATTAATCAGTAAAATTAATCTCCTGTTTGTGTTGATTTTCACTTGATAACGATTGAGGTATTAAGACTGAAGAAGTAGATTTGTCATGTACTCAATATTCTCTGTTGCTGCTAGCAATCAACGTACTTTTTCGTTTTGCAGGGAGGTATGCCTGTGCTGTGTTGTATTATGCACCATAGAGTGTGCTTGCTGCTGGAAAAGAACTTGGTTCTTTCATCACTGGTTCGGCAGGAGGTTGCAGCTTGCCAGATCGTGCAACCAGCGTCTTCACAGTTTCCTCATTTTCCAGTTGTATTTTTGTTTAGGAAATTTTGGATCTGAGATATGCCTCAGTTCTAATATTTTTGGTGGATTTGAATTTACAAGACATATGTCTTTACCCTTTGCTTCTGTAATTTTGTCGTTCGACAAAATGTGAAACATGGCCCAATATTTGAATTATTATTATTTTACTTCTTTTCGGAATACCATTTCTCAATTGCTTCCAAATTTCGATGACAAAATGTATTTTTAAGAAGGTAGATAGTCTGATATCCAAATTGTGCTAGCTTGTGTCCCTCTTCCGTTCCCTCTCTATTGGTTGAGTTCATCTACATTCGTATCGATCCGTATTTTAACCAAGGATGGCCTTCTAGGTCCTCAATAGCCCTTGTATTTTGGTTGGCTATCGCATGTTCATGTGTTTTTCCCATCTTTCACACACAAAAAAAAAAAAACCCAAAAAAAAAATCAACGGTTCTAGCCAAGTGGAAAAGGGTCTTAACTTGCAGACTAGTGACCTCAAGTTTGAACCCTTATGATACCATAGTAGTGTGTGTATGTGAAATTCCCCTCTCCTCTAATGTAGACTATCGCTAATGCTAAAAAAAACACTCTATTTTAGCACTAAAACAACTACATGAGCAAGAATAGCTATCACAAATTCACGAGCAAGATTACCAATAAATACACATGAAATGTCAAGACTACCCCTCATTTATGTGCATGCTGATTTTGCTCATGAAGTTGTGATGGTGGCATTCTTACTCATGGTACCTGTTTTAGTCAAAGAAGGGTTCCAAAGGAGGATGGATAATTGTTCAGTATCTAGAAGAACAATTGTGATAGACATACGTTTCATAAGGAAGTCATAAAATTAAAATTAGAACATATGTGCTAAAATAAACCAAGGCAATTGTATCACAATATTATTCCTGTATCATTAAAACATATGGAAATGAACTCTCCAAAGCTCTCTGCTCTTTATATGTTGAGCAAAAGCATCTCCAACAAGTACTGTTAAATAAATTGCTAACCAAATGCAACAAAGATATAATTAAACATATATATAATATTTTAAGGTACCTCTTGTGTAATTTTCAACATCTACCATCCTATGCCATTATGAAGATGATGAGTTGCCAAATCTCTGTTTCCATTCACATCTCCACTCTCATTAATCCTACTCAAATTGTAAGTCCCAGCACTCACCAAATTGTAGTTTTGAGTCACTTGTTGTTGTTGCTGTTGTCCCTCAAGAAAATAGAAGCCACCATTGAAAAGATCCACCTTGGAGGTTGACATAGAAATATTATTGGCATTAAGAACTGCGTTCGTTTGATCATTGTTAGAACCATGCTGCAGATTGGTGTTTGAAGTGTTGTGATGTTGCTGCTGTTGTTGAGAAGGGTCTTCTTCTTGTCTAGTCATGGACGCGACCCCTCCTTGCGCCTCGGTGGATCTGCTAGTGGTTTTCATGGCCCAAGGAAGGTCATCCCCATTGATAGTCTTCCTCTTCTCCCTCTGGCACTTGTAGGACGCTTTGCCTGTGACGAAGCTTATGAACTCAGGCACGCACTCCTGGACAGTTTCCTTGGCTTCCTTTGAGATCTTGGCATTTGAAGGGAGGGACTTCTTCATGATATGGCTCACGTTAGCAATGGGGGGGAACCTGTGTCTTGCTCTTTGGAAGAGCTATCTGAGACATTCCCAGACAAAGGGCTTCAAACTGGGCTGGTTTGGTTTCTTTTTCCACTGATAGAGTTAAGTTTAGAGTGATTGTGTGAAATAGAAAAGAGAAATGCAAGTGAAGGAAAATGTGTACTGGTTTTTCTTTTTCTTCTTTTTTCTTTCTTGTGACAAGTGTTTGTTGTGGAATCTAAGGGGAAGAGTTTGGGGTTTTAAAGCTAGCAGAAGTGGGGGAAAAAGGAAGCAAAATAGATTATTGTTTATTTTATGTTTGGTAAAAAAAAAATAAAATAAAAAAGAGAGTGGAGAGGCGGTTTGATGTGGACAAAAAAGAAAAACAAACACTGGGAGATTAGAACAACTGCAAAGGATGGTGTGGGAAGGTGTGGAATCTTTGGAGGAAGAAGGAAAAAAAAAATACATGTGGTGTTAAATAATAACAAAAGAAAATCAATAATGAATTGATACTGTGACCTTTTCTGGTATGGAAGTTCCATGGGACCAAGAAGAAGAATTGAAGGTAGGACATGAAAAATAAGCAAACTCTTCCCAAATATATGTATTGGTTCTCCTTTAATCTGTTTGATTTTCATTTGTTTGCTATATGCATTGCAGGTCCTTTTCTCTTCTACCTTTGACTATAATTTAAAATTCAAATGGAATGGCAATGGAAAAATATAAAGCCTGCACGGGAGACCTTAAATTTGTTTGAACATGTCCAATAGGTGCAGTGTGTAATAAGCTATCACTGCCGGAACTGACCTCAACTTCAATTTCTTCCCGGCATGTCTTTCTTAACCTACAGTTTGATCTCAACTACTCAATTAGAAATTTATATATATATCGCTTGTGTGTACCTCTGCATCCGAGGTCACAGGTTTGATTTTTCATAAACATTGGTTGTATAAAAAAAATAAATAAATAAAGAGAGCAGAACCCATTGCGCTGGTATACAAGTCACATTGCCTGTTTTCTCAAGTGTTATTTGCTTGTATTGAATTAATTAATTAATTACTTGCCTCTCTACCATTGACACTCCCTCCATCTACCCTATGGTTGCTGAACCAATAAGTATAAAACACCTAAGTCTAGCAGTTGAGAACCCCAACTGTCTTAAGGCCTCCTGGGAAAAAAAAAAAAAAAACCTTTTCTTTTAACAGGGATAGCACTGTTTTGCTATTCCCGACCAATAACACAATGACACGTGAAAAATTTATCTCATGTGTCATTGTGTTATAGATTGGGAATAGCAAAAAGTGCTACTTCGTTGTATGAGAGTTTCTCTCCTTACTGGCACCAACCAACGCACGTAACACATCAATGTGCGCGACAGTTTACACGCCTTGTTGTCAACCAAGGAATCAGCCACATCATCAACCAGTTGGCCTTGTCTCTAGCTAGGCCCTTCTTCAGTGCTAAGTAACAAATATAGGTGGCATATATCCTGAATAAAAGTTTTGGTACATTCATAGGAGCCAGAAACCATCCCATGTTCCTGTCTTCAACAATCTCTGGAGATATTTTGTTGATCAATTTTAGACTTCAATTTACTGACCATAATAAAAATAAAAAAACTGAAAAATCTTTAGACTTCAATTTATACCAATGGATCATGGAATTATCTTCTGTTTTTCTGTAATGGAGGACTTGGTATCTTTGTTCGGCTTAAAAAGGCAAAGAAAAAAGAGGGAGGCGCATATAATGCTTAGCTTAGCCCTCTTCCTCTATGTCTTTCCAAGATTCCCTCTTGTCACATCTATAGACGTAAAGACTATCTTCTGCCTGCCACTCTCAATCTCTCAAGGCATGCAATTGGATCCCTCTATTCTCAGTTTAATTCAATAGCTTCCTCCTAATTAGTTAAACTTGCCTCTTAGTAGAGCTCTTTGTGCAAGTTTAAGATTTTTCTTATTGTGTACAAAAGGTTAGTAGCTCAAGTAGTTAAGAGCAGTTACTCATACATCCGAGGGCAAGCTTTTTTTATCACGTGTTCATCCGCTATTTCTTACAATTAAAGATTATTACTTATTGGAAATGAGTGCTCAAACTAATTAAGTCCTAATTACACAGTTTATCATGTAAGAGGATTGTAGCTTAAATAGTTAAGAATATTTACCATTTACTCCAAGTCGTGTGTTCGATTGTCCTCTCTTAATATAGCTTCGACTCTGAAACGTGCAAATCTGCAGTCTCCCAATCCATCATATTAAATTTAGCAAATGATTGCTTGTACTTGCTTAATTAGTTTAATACATTACTATACCTGTCGTCCCTTTTCTGTTCTTGGTCAAGTAATTGTATTTTAATTTCGTTCAGTTCGTGGATAATCACCACCTATAACTTTTAAAAACAGTATACCTTACAATAAAAATCTGAATAAACTAAATAATAAGCATAAAAATACACTCAATAAATACCTTTTGATCAGGCTTGCGACAAATGGCTTCCTAAGGAACCGCCTCTCTACCTATATGCCTCCTCTCTGTAATTTTGGACGTGTCTATGTGCATGCTGACTCGGTGACCTGCAGTCCCGCTAGTCCCGCTAATGAACTGAAAAAATAATGAGTTCTAAGATTGATTAGTATACAAGAGTTCATTATTTTATAAATTTGTATATTTTATATTGGTTTACAATATAACAAAAACACTTTTAACTTCTTTTAAATTACAAAACTACCATTAATTTTTTAAAACAAACCCAACCCCAAAACCTTATAAAAAAAACCCAAAACACTGAATAGGGTATCAAAGTAATTTAATAATCAAAATTAAATTCAATAGGGTGAGCTATTATTTTTTAAATTTTTTTTGGGCTTGTTTATAGAAATAAAATGGTGTAAGATTTATCTATATTATTAATGCGAAGAATAAGTATATGACTAAATATCTCTTTTAATAATGCCCCGACATGTTTTGACCATTAAAAGAAAAAAAGAAAGAAAAGCATATGAGCTAGACAAAGAGAGAAGGAAAATGTCTTGGCAGCTCGTGAGCCAACAAGGCTGGAGTGCTTTTCAAATCGTGTCGGATTCTTTTCATTTTTGGTTTGCTTAATGGCAGTATGGGAATGTTAATTCTCACAAAAATTAAACAAAAATGCTAGGTTTACCACATTCAAAAATGCTAGGTTTACCACATTTTTCATACCGTAATTGTACCACCTCTCTAATAGAGGTGTGCCCCATTGTATTGGTGAGCTCCACCTCTATTAGAGAGGTGATACAATTGTGGTATGAAAAATGTGGTAAGACTAGCATTACTGAAAATTAAATGGAGTACCGGTTAATCAATATGTTAATTCTCATAAAAATTAATCCCACTTTCTGGTATGATGACACCTCGTAATATTTATCAAAAAATATATCCTCTGCTTGAAGACTAAAAAAAATATTTAAAAAAGGCATACTTAATTAAACAGTGGACTAGCGATATTTATCATCCGTTTTCAATTTTGTAAAACAAAAAAAATAAAAATTGTTAACACACATATTAACAGTTATAAAAAAAAAAAATTGCAACCCAAATGGATGGTCACTTTACAGATTTTTTTATTTTGGATCAGGATTGTTACTTTACAGTTATTTCTTGCATGCGTTCTTGTAAAACAGATTTAAGTAAATTTAAGTTTTAGCCCCAAAAAAACTTTCACTTTTGAAAAAAGCCAAATTTTTTTCAAAAAAGACAGAAAAATCTCTCAACTTTCAAATCAAAGACATGCAAATGTAAATGATTCCTTAGGAAATCCAAAAATAAATAAGGGTAATTTTGTCCATTTTGGCTTCTTTTACAAAATTTCTCTTTCCTTTGTATTTTTTCAAAGTCCCCCAAAGATTTATTTGTGGGTCCGTAAAAAAGAAAAAGGGAAAAAAAAAGGTTATTTCTTGGAAAATAAAAAATACTTTGAAGGGTTGACTTTGTGCCATCGTGGTTCTCCCGCCGTTAGTTCTGACTCTCCAGAGAAAAACAGCCCACCCCCCTTCTCGTTTCCTCCCTCCTTTCCTCCTCTCTCTCTCTCTCTCTCTCTTCGATCACTTGTTAGAGAAGAAGAAGTAGAAAGCCTCTTTTACCTTGTACTCTCTCTCTCTCTCCCTCTTTCTCTCTCGGTCCTTCTGGGAAAGTCTCCCGTATTTCCCCAAATCTCAGGTGGTAGATTTATGGATTTGAGATGCAAAATTGGAGCGTGGGAGTTAGCCAAGTTTTTGAAAGTTATCAAATTTCCTGCAATTTGGGTGAATTCTCAGCCGTCAGATCGATTAACGCCTTGGAGTAATCTTCCCAAATAACACCTAAGTATCGGATTTCATATACATAAAGTAAGGTACTTTTTTTATGCTATCTTCATTCATGTTAATGGGTTTCATCTCTCTGTTGTTGTTTTTTTTTTTTTTTTTTTTTGAGTAATTTTTTTAGCTTCTTTTAGCCATATGAGTTTGAACTCTGTGCTTGAAATTCTGCTCTTTTATATGGATTTTTTTTTTAACTCATTGAAGCCTTTATATGCAGTATAATTATGTGTAAACGCAACCCATTCCTTTTTTTTTTCTCCCACAAATCTTAATTTTAAACCACGACTTGCTTTTACTCACACTCGTTGTGTGTTTATTCTGTTCAAGAATTTTGATTATGAAGTGAGAAAGGTTTTGGATTTGTAATTTTATGATCACTTGCATGCCATGTCTCCGAGAAATCTATATCTCTGAGTTTTTGGTATGTTGTGTGCAAGTTATAGACTTGTCCTGGTAGCAAAGTGACTTGGACCGAAATTTTTTGACATCATTTTGTTACTTGGCTTGAGATGACTGTTGCTTCTATATATTTATGTAGGAAGATGTCACGGGGGCGGGCTAAGTCTGGTGGTTGGGCTGCCTTTGACCTTAAGCAGCGCCAGAAACAAGGCCTTGAGCCTCAAACTGACACGGACCATTTCCCACCTATACTGACCACTCTCCCTTCTCTGCATCCTTGCGAAAACGTATCGAGGAATAATGACCTTTCAGGCAGGCCTTTCTCTTGTGTACTCCATCCTGTAGATTTTCCAACTTCGACAGAGAATAGGGATGGCAAAAGACTCTTATTATATGGTGATTCTAGTGGCACTTCCATGGAAGATAATAGATCTACCAAGAAGAAGATCATGGATCTTTACCCTTGGGCTGACGATAGCTTGATTGAGGATATTATGGCTGCAGTGGGTGATGATATTACTAAGGCCTCAACATTATTGAAAGCAATGGTTTCCCCCAGCAGCTTTGAAGAGAATAAGGAAACTGACATTTCAAAAATAAATTCCAATTCAGATATTTATCAAAGTGATAAAACAAAGCATACAAGTTTTCCTCTAGAATCTGCTGCTGACATAGCTGACCTCAACTCTACTTTTGAGAAATGTCTGGAAGAGAATAACATTGAATTGTTAAATGCCCATGATTTCTGTGGGAAAAAGCTCCCTAATGATGCTGCAACTACGAAACTGACTCTGGGGAGTTTGGAGTCAGTACCCGTTGAACCTGAGTGGGAAGAGGATGATGTTTACTTGAGGCATCGAAAAGATGCATTAAGAATGATGAGGTATGCATGCTGTTCATGAATTTGCAGGATCTCCTATTAGATAAGGATCTGTTTTTGCATACTCTATGGTAGCATTTAAATTTTCCTTGTCTTAAATAAACAGGTCAGCATCTCAGCACTCTAAGGCTGCCACTAATGCCTTTGTAAGAGGTGACCATTTTTCTGCCCAACGACACTCAAACAAGGCTCGAGAGGAATGGTTGGCGGCTGAAAGCCTTAATAACAAGGCAGCCAAAAAAATTTTAAATATCAGGAATAGCAAAAATGATGTATGGAAACTGGATCTACATGGTCTTCATGCATCAGAAGCAATTCAAGCCCTGCGTGAACACCTGCAGCGAATTGAAACCAAAGTTCTATCTAATCATTCAGTGTCACCAAACAAAGTTAGGATGGAAAAGAGGATTATACGTTCTTCGTCACTCGAGTCTTTTAATTGTATGGACACAGAGAAATTGGATCAACAAAAGGCACCATCAACACAAAGACCAACATCCTTGCAAGTTATCACAGGTATTTTGTTTAATTTAACGCTGTTTATAGTTTTATATGACATAATAAACAAAATCGCTAAGCATTTAAAAGTATATGTTTGCTGCTTTTCGTATGCTTAAGTACCAATATTTGAATACACTTTAAATGACCTCATTTATCAATATGAATTGTCGTTAAGTAATCCTTAGCTAGCATTACTGCATGAATTTCTTGCAGTAAATTTGTGTGTGATTTTGTGGTAATTAGTCAGTTTTATAAATTTTTTTTGGTCAAAAATTATCTTCATGTCACAAAATCCTAGTTTTTGGATTTTATACTTTATGAAATTTGTGTGTGATTTTGTGGTAATTAGTCAGTTTTATAAAATTTTTTTGGTCAAAAATTATCTTCATGTCACAAAATCCTAGTTTTTGGATTTTATACTTTAATTTGACATAGGATTATTTAGGAAAAACTTGTTTGTTTTTTGTTTTTTTCTTCATGAACAACTTATTCAATGGGATCAGGGTTCCTTTCCTTCCCTTGTAGAATTAGGATTCCAGTGAAGGCAACATTTAAATAAACACATAAGGGAATCACTCAACCCCAATTGAATAAGTTGAGCTAGATTCTAATCATTACAATGTCTTGTTTAGAGTTAGGATGGGAATGTGTTACTCCTAATTGGCTAACAGTTATAGTATGCAACTGAGTTCTGTGTTTGTATTTGCAGGTATAGGTAATCATAGCCGAGGACAGGCTGCACTTCCAACGGCTGTGAGAAGTTTCCTCAACGATAATGGGTGATGCATCTTTCCTCTGTGCAAATGCACTTATAATTGACAGAATGGATCATATTTTTCTTTAGTTTCTTGATATGTTTGGGTCTATAAGCTAGCAGTGGCATAGTTTAGTTAGTTTGTGTAATGATGAAATTTTTTGTATTGCAGATATCGTTTTGAAGAGTTGAGGCCAGGTGTAATCACTGTTCGACCCAAGTTTCGTCATAGGTGATTCATCAAGTAACCAAATCAGTGATGATGTAAAATATGTTATTGCAGAACAGAGTCTTCTGCACTTCATTCTTTAGACTAATTCATGCCCAATAGAAATCAGGCAGTTTCCTTCTCGTTATTGGAAACATATTTATGTGATCAGGTGTAAAGATTTAGTTTTGTATGATTAATAAGTAAGATACTTGTAGCAGAAGTTATGTGTTGAGTTTAAAATAAATGCATCTCATTTCTAGATATCGATCCCCTTGCCCGGTACCAAGTACCATCCGTGTGTTGGTAGTAGTAGAGACGGTGGTGTTGGTGGTCTACACTGTTGTTTTCTTTTCTTAAAATTCTCGTTTATGTTGTAATTTTAGAAATAACAACCCTTTATATGAAATTTGAAGTTGAAATTTATAACTTCTAAATTCTAAGTTTATTTCTCACATGTAATCTTTCTTTATGAATACAAACAAGAAAATTGGCATGTGCCAATATAAAAATTCTAACTTTTATCAAGATTTCAAGTTTATTTCTCTCGTTCAAGCGCATAGTAAAAAATTAAAGGCTTAATATCACAAAATGTCCATAAAGTTTACGAATCTATCAGATTGTATTATTCTTGTTTTTTTGTGTCATTCGTGGTCCTCAAGGTTAATAAGAATGCAATCTGATAGTTTTATAAACTCTAGGGACATTTTGTAATATTAAACCAAAATTAAATAGGAGAAAAGCAAAAAAAAAAAAAAAAAAAAAAGCTTTTTAACCGACCGAAGCTCAATGGTATTTTTTGAGGTTCAAAACAAAACCAAAACATAAGCATTGAACTAAATTGTTCTTTTTGGACACCGAATCTTTGCAGTCTCACAAATTTCTCGGCCTGACACGTAAGCGTGGAAGTGTCCAAAGCAATCTCATGCTTACAAACTAAAATACCTTTGTGGCGCGACACGGCCCGCGAGAGTTCTCGCAGCCAATGGGGAGCCTCCGTTCTTCAAAACACTCATCCTCCCAATTGCCACGTGTCCTCCCCACCTCCACCCCTTTCCCTCCCTTTTCTTTATTTCTGTTTCGCCCCTTCACAAAATAACCTTATTTTCCTCATTTTCATCTTCCTCCCACTCCAGCAGTCGTTCTGTCTTCTTCTTCTTCTTCATTCTCTTTCTCTCTCCGGCCATGAAAATTGGGGCTTAGGGTTTGATCAAATTCTAGATTCTTTCCAACAATGGCTACTTGCTCTCTACCTATTCCGGAACTCACCTTTCTCTCACCGCAAACCACTCCCAAACGCCGCCTTTCTGTTTCAAGAGTTTCTCTTTCTAAAATCTCTCTCTCCGGCTACCCGAGGTGTGGTATTCAGTCCCGAATCAGAGCGATTAAAGAGGACGGCCTTGTAGTTGAAGAAAGGGAAGCCGAATTGATCAAGAAAGTGAATGGCGTGGAGTTGAGTGGAAATGGAGCTGGTGTTAGTACTAGTGGTAGCAGTTACGGGAGCAATGGCTCAGTGAAGAAGTACTCGAATGGCAGTGTGAATGGGGTGAGTAATGGGAGCTTGGTGAAGTTCGTGAATGGCAATGGCGTGGCAGCGGAAGTGGTGGAAGAAGTTGAAGTTTTGGAGTCGAAGGAGGAAGGAAGGAAGAAGAATATTGAAGAAATTGGAAAGGAAGATGCGTGGTTTAAGCGAACAGGGCAACCAAAAGTCGAGGTATGATTCCATGATGTTGATTTATTGGTGTTCCATTGGGTTGTCTTTGAGGAAGTGTCTGAACTTGGAAACTAAGTTAGTATTTTGAACTTGGAGTTGGTAAGAAAACTTCAATTTTGAATGTAGATGCGAGATGTCGATATAGGTTTGTGGAATATTAATTGAAACCCAAACTGGTCAGGTTGCACAAACAGAAAAATTATTGATCTACATTTGGAATTTGTGGACTAGAATTGCAATTTATAGTACCCGAGGCTTTGCGACCTAAAATGCAGTTTCAATGCTGTCATGTTACTCCCTATACAAAAAATGCGTCATCTTACTTAAGATGTAGGGAGAAGTTATAAAATTGAGCAATCTATGGGGTAGTGGTTCCAATGGCATAGTAAGATGATATTTTTCTTATTACTATTTTAGAGATCATAATCTTTCCATTATTTTTTTCTTTGTACTTTTCATTAGGGTTACAAATATTACCATTTTCGGTATCTGTTGTTTTGGTTGATTGCAACCCTTAATTGTTAGGGTTTAGGGTTTCAATTCTAGCCTTAATTGTTTTATATAGCATTCAAGCAGTATCTATTAAGGAAACAATCATTGACAAAGTATTCATAGTAATACTGATTGTTTAAATTACTCTTAAACTGGCCCAATTTTATGGTATGGGGATGGGATGTAAGGTGGTTAACAAGAGAAATAGAAACTGAAACAAAAGTGGTTCAGGAAAATCTTTTTAAGGAGATCGTTGATCTTGATAGAGGTCCAGTTTAGGCTTTAATGATAAATAGATGCTTCTAGTACTTTATTGCAAACAATATTGCGTGTAAAGTAGCTTCATGCAAAGATTTTGAGTTTGCTGTATAATATTGAGATGGCTTAGTTTTCTAATTTTATAGGTTGCTTCATTTGTATTTGAGTTTTGGTATGTGCACATGCGTGCCATATTATTATGGTACTATTTGGTTTTTGCAGGTTTCTGTTGCACCTGGTGGCCGTTGGAGTAGATTCAAAACTTACTCGACAATTCAGAGGACCTTGGAAATATGGGGATTTGTTCTAACATTCCTCATAAAGGCTTGGTTGAACAATAGAAAATTCACTTACAAAGGTTAGTCACTTCCAGTATAATGAAATTTTAAAAAGTCAAATGCATAAATTCTTCATTTTTACTTTCCAAGTGAGAAATAAACCAAAAATGTAAGAAGTATTTCAAACAGGGAAGTCCTTGCAAAGTGCATTTAATAACAGTTGTAGAGACTTATTCCCACATTCTATAAATGCTTTCTAATTCTACAATATATTAGATATTGAAGAGGAACAAGCTATTCAAGTTGGCAGCATTCACCCCAACGCTTTTTAGATATCATTTTGTGAAATTACTTATGACATTTAAAGAAACTGAGGGTAGCAGTGCTGTGGCAGCATCCATGTCATATGGGCATTGCCATGGAAAACACTTTAAAAAAAGGACGGGGTTCTGCCTTTGTGGCAGTGCTGACTCCCCCATGCAATATCTAGAAAAAGACAAACAAAAAATGATGGATGGGCTGAGCAGTTTGGGTATGATAATAACACTGCCTGATAGTTTTGTTTTTTGTTTCTCATAAAAGAATGGCTCACAGCAATTAAGTCTTCTCGGCATAAATTGATTTTTGTTGGAATCTAGAATCTTTTGTCTAGGCATCCATCTTTAAGGTAGCTGGACTGTGTGGTATTTGGTGCTTGCATATAATTTAAGGAAAACGAATGTTCAGGGGGAATGACAGAGGAAAAGAAAACCTTGAGGCGTAAGGCCCTTGCCAAGTGGTTGAAGGACAACATTTTGAGATTAGGTCCAACATTCATCAAAATTGGCCAGCAGTTCTCCACAAGAGTGGACATTCTTGCTCAAGAATATGTTGATCAGTTGTCAGAACTTCAGGTTGGAAATGCTTTAATTCAATGTCATTGAGATTGCATTATTCCTTCTGTATGCTTCTGTTCTTGTATCCTACTCCTAATGTGTAACTCTGTTAATTTCTTCCTGGTCAACAATTATTTGTTGGACATGAAGCCTTGCACTTGAGATGTGTTTTTATTTATTTATTTCACTCTCTTTGTTTAAAAGTTGGCCATGCAAGAAGATGGGATTTGTTAGGTGATAAACATAGATTTCTCCACCTTACGTGCCTGGGTTGTGGCGCCAGGTGTTCTAATAAATAAACTTACTTATCAAAATTTGAAAGGAAAAATTAGAGCTTTTGAGAAGGTAGAAGAAGAAATCACATTTTTATTTTCAGTACTTGATGACCTAAAATTGCATTTTGCTTAATATGGCAATCTAATAATTTTTGTGTGGGTTAGTACTATACAGTGCTGATATATTATTACACATTTGACTCTAAGCATTCCGAATATGTAACTACGTTATGAAATATATGTTTTTTTTTTAATCATGTAAACTAGCTTAGTGTCTAACTTTTATCCACGTTTGACTCTGAGCATGCCGAATATGTAACAACAACGTATGTTTTTTTAATCAACTAAACCTAGCTTAGTGTCTCAAATTTTCCCATTTGTTTTCTTTCGTTTCTGCTTTTTATATTATACTATTTATCCAATCAGCTATTTAAAAGTAGAGGCAATTTCGTTTTTTTCTTATCCTTTCTCAAACATGCTCAGTTGCCTATCTATAAATTGTTGATTCTTAAGGCATAACTAAGTCACAGTTTAATTTCAGGATCAAGTTCCTCCTTTCCCATCAGATACAGCTATTTCTATTGTTGAAGAAGAACTTGGTGCTCCTTTGAAAGATATATTTGATCGGTTTGACTATGAACCAATAGCCGCTGCTAGTCTTGGTACTTCTTATTTCATTTCTATGATTTCTGACACTGAAATTTGTGCAATCAACATATTAATATTCCTTTTTCTTTAAAAGGAATGAGAAATCAGAAAATGAACCTATAGCTTAATTGTTTTTTGGTTATGAATTTGATAAGAGATGAAATATGAGAATGTGGTATCATCCCTTATGCAGGTCAGGTCCACCGTGCAAGATTGAAGGGACAGGAAGTTGTTGTTAAAGTACAGAGGCCTGGACTGAAGGATCTTTTCAATATTGATCTTAAGAACCTGAGGGTCAGTTTTTCATATTGGCTTACGATTCTAGATTAGTAACTAATTCTGGGTTTTTTTAATGTTTTATATTTGCTCACAAGAAGATTGGAATCTAGGATCTACCCTCACCCTACCCATCCATGCCAATCGAGCTAAGGTCATGGGCAATGCTCGGGGTAATTTAGGTTATCAATGATTTATCTTATCATGGTTGGATTCCTTTTTATGTTTTTTTCCCCACTTTGATCGACTTGCCAAAGTTGTGAATTTCCATTTTATGTCTTTGTTGGCATACATTAATTTACTATGTGAACTGTATCATTAGAAACTGATAACGGTCTTGCTACTCAGTTTTGTTCTCTTGTGTGTATGTTCTTGTTTTACTTTGTTGTACATGAAACACAAAAGATTCCTCTTGATCTCATGAGGGGTATGGAAATTCTGATGAGCTTCGACATGTTGGTCATTTTCTTTTCCAGGTAATTGCAGAATATCTTCAAAAAATTGACCCAAAGTCTGATGGTGCGAAGAGGGATTGGGTTGCTATCTATGATGAGTGCGCAAATGTCTTATATGAGGTATTGAGATCCCCCTTGATTGCTTTAACCTTTTCATTTGTAATACAGTTTTCGTATTACTATTTAGTAAATGGGAAGCTAATAACTTTGAAGTTTTCCAGGAGATTGATTATACCAAGGAAGCTGCTAACTCTGAACTATTTGCAAGTAACTTCAGAAACATGGATTATGTTAAAGTCCCAACAATAGTATGGGAATACACTACACCACAGGTTTAAGCTTCCAGCAATAATTAATTTTTAGCTGGTAGAACATTAACAAGTTTGTTATTATGATTGGCTTTCTAAAGTCCAACTTCCTGCATTATTATTATTAGGTTCTGACAATGGAGTACGTCCCAGGGATCAAAATTAACAAGATAAAAGCTATAGATCAATTGGGCATTGATCGGCAAAGGTCAATATAATTTCATGTCTTATATATCCTGGTTAAAATCATGTTAACATGACCTCTTCTTATCACTCCTGATGCTTCTTATATCAATTTGAACTTCCTCAGGTTGGGTCGATATGCTGTTGAATCATACTTAGAGCAAATTCTGTCTCATGGATTTTTTCATGCCGATCCTGTGAGTTTTTTGCTGTTTTATTCAATTTTTGGTGCTCACACATGTTTATGATGTCAATAAAAGTGGAATTTAATATGGAGTTTGAAGATTAAAAAAAAAAAATCCCTCCGGTGGATTTTACTTGCACAAACCTCACCTCATACGAAGTAGAGGGCTGTTAGGGACCAACTTTCATGCTATTTTAGGTGTGAACGATGTGAGCATGGACACGAATAGTTTTGGTTCTATTGGCATAATAGAAGTGCAAAAAAAAAAAAAAAAAAAAAAAGTTGAAGCAAAAGGGGCGGAGCAGAAAAGCAGTATAGGGTCATAGCATCAATGGGTATAATGGCAAGGAGGTAGTGGTTCCAATAATAGGCTACAACAACATCTGGTGGTAGTTGAAGAGATATGCCTGATTTTCTGTCAATAACTATTGGGGCAGTGGTATGGTAAAAGTACGGTAGCACCGATGTTGGTTTTATTGTTGGCTGAGATAGTGGTTATGTTTGTGTGGGTCCCAGGTTAGTCTTGATAGTGCTTTTGGCACTATGAGAGGGGGTTTTTTGCTTTAAAATTTCCATCTCTATTCGTTGCCTTGTATTTAATAATTAATACTGGGAAAACCTCACAAGTGTGATGTGGATGTGGATGTGTATGTAAGAGGAGTACCACTCCTAATCCATGGTAATAGTATTTGACATTATGCCCTCCTGTAGTTCCATTCTCACTGTGATTGTTCACTTACGCATCCTCAAGGAAAATACTAAACATGTCTGCTGTATTGTGTAGTCCAAAATGCAATCCCTGAGACAATTGTGTCATAAGAGGAAAGAAATAATGAGCATAATACTTAAACGAAACAGGTCGTTCTTAGATGCATAGGTAATCCCTCATGGCTGTCACATTGGAGTAATAATGATTAGATTCATGTTCTCTAATCTCCTAGCTGTAACATAGCCCATAGTGAGCTTTTCTGATTCCCACTTTCTCAACTTTATAGGGATCAATATTTATGTTGCATACGAAAAAGCTGCGGCGTTCCTGTTTCTTAATTACATATACTAGCATTTAATATCACCTGCCAATGTGTAACCACAACTTTGTTTTACCCTTGATGCAGCATCCTGGAAATATTGCCGTGGATGATGTCAATGGTGGAAGATTGATTTTTTATGATTTTGGAATGATGGGAAGGTATTTCCTTTGTGCTTGCTAATCTACAATTGACCAATAACCACTCTGAAGCTTTTATTTATTTCTGAATGTATTTTTCATATTTGTATTTTGCAGTATCAGTCCAAACATTAGAGAAGGTTTGCTGGAAACATTTTATGGAGTTTATGAGAAGGATCCAGATAAGGTTTTTTAATCGTTTCCTTTTGTTTTAATATTTGAAGGATAGTAGCCTCCGATCATGGTTAGGGCTATGAAATTACTAAATTAACTTCAATTAATTATACCATGGTTCCATTTTGTGTCTATGATCCACCAATTGATGGAAATTATTTATACTGGTGCAGGTCCTTCAGGCAATGATTCAGATGGGTGTTCTTGTGCCTACTGGAGATATGACAGCTGTGAGACGAACAGCACTATTCTTTCTTAACAGGTGCTTTCGATTGAGAGGAAACAGAAAATTTGAATATAGCATGGGTCCCTTTTTCGCTTATTAATATTTTTGTTTAGTGGTTTGTTTTTGGGTTAAAATTTTAAATTCCCTGATGTTGAGCAATTCAAGAGCTACTTGGCCAATAATGCTTCTGTGGCAAATCAGAATTATTAAATATGACTGGTAGTGCTACATAAACTTGCAACGTGCAACGTAAGACCAACTATATCATCTTTTGGTTTGAGTGGAATTTTTATTTAGGTTGGTCTGCTGTCATGCTTGCGTCAGTCATGAACGAACGATTCTATTATTTCTGTTGTTGTACATTGTCTTATGGGCTGGGGTGTAATTTTCATTGACCGACAGCCTGTTATCCTTGGATGTAAGCAAGATGTTAGGTTAAAACATACCTTGTTTACTTTGATTAGTGATTCCGAAGTGAGAGGTAGATAAGTCTCAGCAGAAGAACAAGTTTCAAATCTTTACTCATTTTCTTGAAGTCTTTTCTGAATACTCAAATTTTGCAGTTATGGTGAGCGTCTTGCTGCACAGAGAAAAGAGAAAGAAATGGCAACAGCGGAACTTGGGTTTAAAAAGCCCTTGAGCAAGGAGGAAAGGATAGAGAAAAAGAAGGAAAGGCTTGCTGCAATTGGTAATTCACCTGTTTTGAAATCTAGTATCCATGATATGGCTCTATACCTGACTATAGTTTTGGAATTTTGCAACTAACTATTTGATTTGGAGGCTTAGCTCAGTTTGCAATCAATAGCATGATAGGCATGAGAGTTTAAGTCAAGTCCTGCATTTAAAGGCATTTTTTTGCCAATAGAAATAATTGTATATAGCTTTACAGTGTCCAGCTTCTTGTTTAATTTAGTAATAAGAACTGCTTTCGAGTGGCTGATCATTTATACTGGGACCAATTCATGGCATGTCCAGTTTGAGACAGAGTCAGGAAAGTCTCTAAGATCAACCAGTAGTTTAAAAGACTGCTCAGTCCATATGTATGTATAAGTTAGTATGTAATGTGACCTGCTTACTTTATTTGGTTTACAATTGAATAAATAAATTAACGAACATTGGATCCTCTATTCATATCTCAAATATTTTCTGATTTGGCTAGACTTTATTCTTTTTAGTTCCTTATTGAGTAAAGTCCAAATAATATTTTGGGGTTTTCCCTATCTATGGCCTACAGATATAAAGTTATGAAACTAGTTATTTAGGCCTTTGGGTAAAGTTCAGCCACCTGGGCTTATTAAAATGATATGTGTGATCAGAGGTCTTATGAGTTAACGTGTTTACGTACCAAGTTTTCGTGCCTGATTGTGTTAACATTTCTTTTTAAAATTATGTAAAATTTGAGTCTGGGCTTGAACTGTAATCAAGGGTAAGCGGTTTTTGTCCAGTAGCAGGATTTCCCAATCTGAGATTAGTTAGTTGTGAAAAGTTTCCACAGAAATTGATGCAACACATATCTTATTGCACATTTTTCCACTGCATATTGATGCCTGCTACTCGTACCTTGCATTCCTTTTAACAGGGGAAGATTTATTAGCAATTGCAGCAGACCAACCCTTCAGATTTCCTGCAACATTCACATTTGTTGTTAGAGCATTTTCAGGTAATGTAATAGGAATATGGCGGAGACATTTTTCATAGGAGAAAGAATGTATATATGCATGCATTTTACATTGCTTATTGCACATGTTTATATATCTCATCTCTAATTAGATTTATTTATTCTCTGTTTTCAGTATTGGATGGGATTGGAAAGGGTCTTGATCCTCGATTTGATATTACTGAGATTGCCAAGCCGTGAGTATAATTTTAGGTTTGATATAATTTCAAAGTATTTTCATTGAAACCCTCTAAGGTTGTGCAAGTTTTACTACCCTTTGTTTTTGACAAATCTTGGATGCTCTGCCTTGTAGCTACGCACTGGAATTGCTAAAATTTCGTGAAGCTGGAGTTGAAGTCATTCTAAAGGCAAGCTTGGACCATCTGTATTAAAATGTCTTACAGTACAATGTTCTAATACAAACCACGTATTCTTACACTCAAACTTATAAATGTTCCAGGACCTCCGAAATAGATGGGACAGGCAGTCTCGTGCATTCTATAACTTATTTAGACAGGCTGACAGAGTTGAAAAGCTTGCTGAAATTATTCAAAGATTGGTACCAATTAATTTATTCTGTGCACTAATAATATGACTGAATATTTGTTATAATTTCTCACTTGTGGATGTCCGTGATTTATTTATAGGAGCAAGGCGATCTGAAACTTAGAGTTCGGACTTTGGAATCTGAGAGGGCATTCCAGCGGGTTGCAACAGTTCAGAAGACTGTAGGAAATGTGAGTTCTGCTGGCTCATGATCTAGTGTTGCACATATCATACTTATCTTTTGGGGAATTTGTTTCTATGCATAGTAACCTTTTATGATTTAAATTGTCTTTTGTTTATGCGGTTCCATCAGCTATAGACAAAAGATAGTTGCTAAAGGCTTATTGAGCTTTGGCTCTTTCCTCCCATCCCCAAGCACTAGTGGATTTCACTTCAATGATTTATCAACATTTTCTAAGTGCACCAAGTTATTTGGATGATAAGTGTAACATATCTAGATATCAAATATACCAGCTTTCCTAGTAACATGATTGAATGACATTTAAAATGAAGCACTTTGATAGCCATAGAAGAAAGAAAGTTTGGTCACTTTTCTGAGTGTCGTCTTAAGTTCTTAACTAAGTACACATGTACAGTTTCTGTATCTCTCTTATTTGCTATATCTTATGTCAGAATTTTTTTTCAAAATAAAAAAGAAACGTACTTTAGTTATATGCATTGTTTACTTCAACTAGTTGAACAGCTCATTAGACAGAATATTGTGTCAATGTTTGTCTCTGTCATTTGGGAGTAATGGCAGATCCAACATAGGCAGGCCGGGTGAGACAGATGGACTGAAGCAATAGACATGCTTTAATGTGATTAACTGATTTAGTTTTGAATTCAAGCTGTGTGGCGGGTAATTAGCTTTAAAGAATTAGTAATTGTACGTGAGAGTAAGCTGCTGTTTAATATGAGTCTAAAGATTTGTATGGTCTTGATAATAAGTTCAATGTCATAAATGATATTAGAATAAGTTTGAAATGGTTATAATAATACCTACTCCATTGATTTTGATCTTCAATATGACTAATTTGCAGGCAGTTGCTGCTGGAAGCCTAATAAATCTTGCAACGATCTTGTATATTAATTCCATTCGAGTAAGCTATCAAAATTGCTTTTGGTATATATGACATCGTGTTGCCTGTTGCCAAATTTTACTTAATGCTCATTTCTGATGCTTTCTATTTCTTTCCAGTTTCCTGCCATTGTAGCATATGTCTTCTGTGCATTTTTCGGCCTTCAGGTTCTCATAGGCATCATAAAGGTAAAGAAGTTTGATGAGCGGGAGAGGTTGATAACGGGAACTGCTTAAACAATTGGTGAGTGAAACTTATTCTATTGATCTTTGTCTCTGAAATTATTGAAGAGTCTTACCACAGTCATCAGAGGAAAAATATGTGGTCCATAAATGATTATTGTTAATTCTTTCAGAAACCAAATAGGCAAATACTGCTGTCCATAAAGGGTTAGATTCTTCGTAGTTGGTCTATTAATGTACAAGAATACTTGTGTGACTGCTATTTGCAACTACACAGTTCTGCTCATTTTTATTATCCTATTCTATAGGCAGAGTGAATTGATCTACCTGTTCTTGCTGATAAACATGAAATGCTCCTTATTTTTATTCTCCTCATAATATGTACTGAAACGTTTGCTTTACATATTTTGTGGAACTTTCGGTCCATTTTTTCAAGCAGTGATCCAGCTCACGGTTTACAAGTCAACCTTCTGATCCTCGAAGAGAATTAGGATCTTGGGATTACTGTAACACGGTACTTCTACCAACAATATGATTCTGAACTTCCAGCTCGCAGGTTTGTGATGCATGTTTAGATCCCGAACACGGGCTGTTCATCCGAAGTTTAATAAGTGTTGGTTTTATCCCTTTGTTAGGTTAGGTTGGCTATTGCCATTTTGTTGCCATTGTCCCAAATTCATGTCTCCAAATGAAGATATGTCGTCATTTTTCAGGTTGATGACTGTATAGGGCAGCTTGTAGCCCAAATGTAGAGTTCTTTGTAACAATCTTGTAGCTAAGAGCCTGACAATGGCAGTCTGGTCTCCCATCAAAATTTGACGCGGTCGAATGTGCATATTTGTTGTATAATGTTGTATCATGTAGAGTTTTTGTTTTCTTTTTCTATATGTAAGCATGCAATAAGCATGCAACGTATGGCCATAATTGAATAAGAGTTTTCTTACAGTTTTTTAATCCGTGCAGCTTATCATGTAAGCTATAGTTGGCCGTCTTTGCATATAGCTGCAAGTTTATTTACTAAGACTTGTACTTTAAACATCAGTTGCTTTCTTTTTGTCCGAAGTGGAGGGAGTTGACTTTGCTATGTTTTATCTCTTGCATCAACAAAAAGGAGTGTGTTTTACTTGCATTCTTTTTCAGGTGCCTTTTTAGGGGCTCTTGGGGCTTCCTAGAAAAGTACTTGGCAGTGCTTCCTGAAGAAACACTTTATTAAATTTATGGAGGAACACGTGCTTAGTAGATGCTTCTCCAGAAATTTTATGACTCAGAACACTTTTTAAGTTTTCATGTCAAACATTGTCAGAACTGCTTTTAGTTGTCATTCCGCTTTTAGCTCTTATAGAAGTAGTCTCAAACAAGCTTGACCATTATTGATTGGCTAATTTGAAGTTACATTTGAAATACTTGAGGATTGGCATCTTGTGTCCTTAAATTGCAAAACTTAACAAACAACATGAGTTGAATGACTACAATTGAAAATATAAGAATGGAACTTAGCCCAAACTAGAAGGTTCAAAAGCATAATTTTGCCGACTTTTTCTGTAAATTTATTTAATAAGACAATGTGAATTCTTACATGCATGCATGATGGATGATGCATGGTATATATGATTCAATGTCTATGGGTAGCACTTAAAAGGTGATTTCAAGAAGGCAGGAATATTAGTTAAAATGTTGTAATTTGACTCAAGTGCAAGAACTGATATGATTAATTAGTACAATAAGACAGGATATATATGTTCGAAAAGCTCATAATGGTTCCCAAGAATGCTTCTCAATTATCTTGTAAAGAATTCCTCCTCGTAGACAAATGGCAGTTTGACACGTATTTCATTAAAATTACAAAAAATAAATAAATTATACAAATATATCAAACTGCGATTTTTCTAAAAGAAAGAAGAACTCATTACATGTAATGAGCCAACTATTTTCCCTCCGCTCATGTTCTCATGCATCTACCTCTCTCTCAAGTGAAATCTTCAATAAACCACGTACTGATCGAAGCCAAGTCATCTGAACCCAGATTAGAGGGACCAAAATCAGAGAGTTAATCTCTTCATTCCACCACCCAAGAAGTGT